GTCCACCCATCTCATGTTTGGTCTTTCTCTTCTTCCTCTGTCTTGGACTTTCCCCAGCGTGATTTTCTTCTCCAGGGAGTCTTGCCTTCTCATGATGTGCCCAAAGTCCCACAGCCTCAGCTTTGTTATTTTTGCTTCCAGGGCAACTTCTGGCTTGATTTGATCTGGGACCCACTTGTTTATCTTTGAGTTATTCCAGGGTATTCAGAAAGTTTTCTTCCAGCACCATGTGGGTAGAAGTATAGCTTCCAAGTCACACAAAGTGCTGGTTCTTTATGATTTGGTACATGTTAGTCTCCATCTTGAGTATTGTGTCCAGCTCTTAGCACTACCCTTCAAGAAAGATGCGAACTAGGAAAAGTTCAGAGAAGGCAAGTTTAAGGATATGGGGCCTGGAAACAAAGCTCTATGGGGAGAGATGGAAAGAACTGGGTGTGTTTAGCCTTGAGAAGAGAAGACTGAGGTTTCTGATGAAATGGCCTTATACTTGATCATCTTTTTTAGTTCCTTCATTGCTGCTTTTCAAAGTTTCAGTCTTCTCCAAATTTCTTGGCTGCAGCCTCCCTTCTTTTGCACCTCGCTCACTTCCATCACAACTAATTTCAGTTCAGTGCTGCTACCTGCCAGTGATATTGCATCATCTGCATGCCTTAAATTATGGGTTTATCTCCCACCAATTTTCACTCCTGTTTCCTCTGGTCCTCGTGCAGCTTTCCTTAGAATGTGTTCTGTGTACAGTTTGAACAGGTGAGGGGATGAAATGCACCCTTATCTGATGCCTATGGGCAACCATTCTGTGTCTCCATATTCTGTCCTAACAGAAGGTTCTGGGCCATGATACGCATTGTGCATCGAGGCAACCAAGCACACCCTTTTCTTTCAGAACCATTCAGAAAGCGGAGCCATCATTGCATCCTGTGATACTCAGTGGTGTGAAGACATCTGTCTTGTTATCTGTCCTGACGTTCTCACCAGTCATCTCCATTGGATGGCTCTGGATTCAAGAATTATGGGTGATGGAGGAAAAGGTCTCCGTATCCACTTACTCCATGCCTTTACATTGTCTCTCCATCACCCACCATATCTTTTTTCTAAGATATTGTAACCCTTCCTCAAAGGGAGATGCTTCAGCACCTTGAATTCATCAGTTGTTCTTTTCTACACTTTCCCCAACTCTATAGTATCCACTTTTGATGCCTTTTAAAGAACTGTACATAATATTAATGGTTATCTAAAGGAGCGCTTAGTCCATATATGCCCTCCCGCCCCCTGAGATCGGCGGGGGAGGCCCTTCTCCGGGAGCCCTCTGTGAGGGATCTTAGGAGGGTGAGTACCTGGAGGAGGGCCTTCTCTGTGGTGGCGCCCCACCAATGGAATGCACTCCCCAGAGAGGTTCGCCTGGCGCCGTCCTTATTTGTTTTTCGGTGCCAGGCCAAGACCTTTTTATTTAAATGATATTTTTAATTGTTAACTGTTGTTTTTATTTATTGGTTTTATGATACAGCCGAGATGCTCCGAATTTTTAATGTTTATTCTATGTTTGTTTTATCCTGCTTTGTAAGCTGCCCCAAGGCTTTCTGCGATGGGTGCGGCATAAAGATGTTATAAATAAGTAAATATTCCAAGCATGGGCACACCATGGAGTTGTATAATGGAAACATGCTATTGGCAGATTTATTTTCATTTTCAATATTCAGAAGTATAAGTGCCATAGGTAGTGCTATCTTCAAAAGGAAACTCACCCAGCAAACCTGTAGGCCATTTCATAGCTTGAAGACAGGAGGGAGCAAAACAATTCCCAAAGCTTAACCGATTGAGATAGTCAAGGGTGCAAAGGCCATTACCACCCAGCACACATTTGAATGAGGCAGCCACAAAAAGGAATGTCTTCGATTTAGGAGGAACAGGTGCAACTGCTTTAGCACAGAATCGTTTAGCAGTTAAAACATTTTGGCAAGGGCAAAGAGCCTGCATATGGAGGGAGTGGGCTTGGCCCACGGGAAAATGTGCGTCTGCTACTGCATAACCGATCCTGTGTGAGCGCTACACGTCTGCACATGCAAGAAGCATTCAGTTTGCGCAGGTCACAACAGGTCCATTGCAACCAAATTTGAGGCGCATGGACACTTTGGCTTGTGCATGCACTCCTCTCTGGCTGTGTGCTGTTCCTGCGATCCGGGCTTCTCCCACCTTCGCCCCGGACGGAATGCCTGCAGTGGCCCATGGATTCAAGAGGAGGAGGCGCAAGGTAACTGAGACCAGCCAGACGTGCCACCTTTCACGCATCGTGATTTCCAGTGAACTGCCAGAAGAAAGAATGTGCCTCCAAGGGCGGCAGGGGATGGGGCAGTCTGCAGAGCAACGCAACTGCGTGCTGTGGGAACGTGGAGGATGTTTGGCTGAGGAGCCTGGTGTGCTCGCAAGATCTCTGGGCTGAAATCTGCCATCCTTTGCTAAAGAATCTGGCTAGCAGAGGTGCTGGAGAGCCAGCCATTGCAGTAGAGCAGGGGTGGGGAACCTCAAGCCCGGAGGTACCTCTGACCCTCCAGAGCTCCCCATTTCGCCCTCCTCTGGTTCACCTGCTCCTCCTGATCCAATCACCTTTCTGTCCCCACCAGTCAGGTTGTGAGGTTCTCCCTCATTCTAGAAGTTTGAAAAGTTTCACCTAAGGCTTAATTGCTGAGAGTAAGTAGGGTTTTTAATACTTTTGACTCCACCCGTTTTGCATTCAGTCCTATACTTTCACCACTGACCACATCCAACCCTGGCATGCGGCCCTCAAGGGCTTCTCCAAAACAGAATTTGACCTTAGGGTTGAAATTCTCACCCCTGAAATGGACAGCAGCACCTACCTACGTGGATGAATAACCTGAGTCAATGTTTGTGTTAGGCAGCTTGGTGCTCTCCAGATGTACTGGACTACATCTCCCATGGTCCCTGGCTGGAGCATGCTGGCTGGGGTTTATGGGAGTTGGCATTCACTGCATCTGGCGGGTGCCGGGTTGCCTGCTCCTCTGCTGCTGCTACAGGTTTTTTTTTTTAAAGTACAGTTCTCTTTTGAACAATTCATCTTTCAGTATGTGCAGGTGGGGTTTCGAAAGCTCTCCACCAAGGCATGGGACGCATGGCTTGCTTGTGAGGATTCACCTCCTTTTTTTGGATGCAACCCTCACAAAGGATGCGGCACAGGCGAGGACAGACTCAAGTGCACTGCGTAGTGAGACACTGTCCTTGCGTCATTATTTAACAGCAATCTATGTATCTCCCATCTTTCATTCATTAAGGCCTAATGTCATTTAGGACAAGCCTGGAGCAGTTTTAAAAGCTATCCATGCAACCCCTTTGACGTCATTCCCCCAAAGGTCCTGGCTGCGCAAACCATCTGTGATATACTGTAGAAAAATCCATGTCATTGTTGTCCTCTCGGGGAGCCCTGGAAGTTATTCAGCTGTCTGGAATGGGCAGATGGCTGCCATCAGAATTTTTATTGTGACTATCAGTATGACCGGAGAAGTTTCTCTGACACATGTTGAACTTTTCAGATGGGTGTTAAATACGTCCCTGGCAGTCCTTACAACCTAGCATGAAACAGATGAATCTAGAAGATAATTGGTCTGATCCACTTCCAAATCCTTTATCTAAAAGAAAGAGAAGTGTTTTTGTGTGAACTTTCTGCTATAAACAAGTTTACTGGGATGCATACAGCTTTTTTAAAAGAGGCAAAGTGTGGCACTTTTGCTCAGAAGTACACTCTGCTGAATTCTGTGAAAATGATCATGATACAATTCAGATTGTGTATTGATGATTCTAAGAAAGCTAAGAACTTGGACAGTGCATTTGATTCTGTTATCTCATGGGTTTCATTGACTCTTAGCTGCAAGAAAATAGGCATATTTCCCTCTCTTTCTGGGAAAGAGAGAAAGTATTTGAATGTGTTTTTGTATCTAAAGATACAGGGCAACATCCAATGCCGTGCTTGCACAGTGGGACTCCCTACCTTTTCCTCTCCCATACAGTAGATACAGTAAACCTCTGAATTGTGCCTTCAGGACCTGTAGCTGAGCCAAGGTATCACTATGACATCTTGACTGGAGACTAACTGTGACTGCAAGGTGATGATCCTCAATGCTTCTCAAGCACAGTCATTTGTTTACATGGGAAAGTTTGGTTATATGAACACTTGGTACTGTCATTTTGGATCGCCATTGCTTTGAGGTGTCTCTGTGCCTTTGTGCATACATGTGTGTAAATTGTGTAAGGAAATGTGAGCCATGTTGGACCACACTGAAAGTCCATCCAAGGCAGTGTTCTGCTCCTGCAGTGGCTGACCAGAAACCCCCAGGAAGCCCACAAAAAGGATTTCCTAGTGCATTATTGCTTGCATTTTCCAGCAACTAGTACCCCCTACTGAAGAAAGCACATAGTCATTGCAACCTGTAGTTCCTGATAGTCATATTGTCCACATGGGTGTCAGAGAAAACTGCAGTGGATCCAAATGAGCTTGGATTTCTGTGAATTTGATGTCTGTGAATTCTACAGTGGGCAGCTTTTTCTTAGTCACACAATTTCTGTGGAGTTGCAGGCTGACTTTTTACTTTTTTGGAAGCATATGCCTTAAATTGTACAAGCATGCATTAGTTGTAATATGCATTTGTTAATCAACTAATTGCAATTGCAATTGCAATTGAAATTGTAATAAATTAGCGCCAGTAGAACAAAATTATGTTAAAAAATCTGATTCCATCAAAGAGTAGACCAAGTAAAAACAGATGGCCTGACAAACACTGAAAAACAGATGGAACAGATCAGTGCATCCCAATTTCCCCAGAAATTTGTCTTAATCGCCTTCTCAGGCTGTCCAGTTTTGTGCCATCACTGCCTGTTTTGCTAGTAACCCTCCTAATTTAACAATGCACCCTATGAAGCTTTTAAGAACAATTGCCAACGTAAAAGATTTCTATTTTCACTAAAAATTGCCCCATGTTCATCTTATGTTTCAGCCTCACTGGTTTCACTGTGACGATTTTGGAGGAAGTGGTAGAAGGAATGCAACTTTGCAGCCAAACAAGGCATGACATCAAGTTAAGGGCTCTTTTCCTCCTGATGGTTCAAATAAAAAACAGGAAGAGGCCGGGAGAAGAAGAGCAGTGCCAGGGTAGGGATAACGTGCTTAATCGCTCCCTCTCTGGATGTTTCCTTAGAATCACCGCTCCTGTTGATTTTCACCATGCATCTTTCAATGATTCAACACATCTTTGTATGAGCAGCTGGTATGGAAGCTCAATTGGTAATGCATTGCACACTAAGTGACACAGAATGGTTCGTGCGTCTTATTTATTTTTTCTGGACCAGGGTGGGCAGACTTCAGGCTTGTACACTGTCATCATCACCACCACCCCCTCTACTGTCATGAAAACCAAGATCTCCCAAAAGAAGCATGGTGGAAAAGACACGCTCCTCGAAGGAAAGAATTCTGAGCCCAGAATTGGGATGCATTTTACAAGCTTTCTACAAGAATCCAATCTGGGTTGATCTGGGGGCAGGGTAAGCTTGGTATTGCTATTGTTAAGCAGAATGTGGAGGGGGAGCAGAATTGGTGCAAGGCTGCCAAAATGTTCACCAGATAGTTTTCAGGTGAAAAAAAGATACAGAACAGCAGAAGAATACTGCTGGATGAGACTTCAAGTGCATCAAGCTGAGCATTCTGTTCACACAATGATCCACCAACAGCCAATGGGAAACAGAGTTGGAGGAGGGAATGTAATCATCTCACAAGAACTTAATTTGCATTGTTAAACCAATATGTGACTCAAACTCAGTTATCCTCTCAATGCACCCTTTTCCAAATTTTTAAATGGCGGTTTCTGATTAAAAATGCACACACAAATGTATATATGAGAGAAAATATTGCTAAAAGATTGTTAAATGAGGACAACAGCTTGCAAATCTGTGTATTTTAGGTGAAAGGCACACAAATTGTTTGTGTTAGCAGAATTGTATGTGTTAGCAGAACAATGTTAAAGAATGTTCATGCCCACTTTAAAAAAACCCACAAATTGTGGGACTCACTGAACTCAAGACTGGAGAAATTCTCAAAGCTCAAGAAAAGCTAAATTTAAAATGGCAAAAAGAAGAAAATGAAGGTGTAATTCTAGGGCCTATCAACTTTCTTGAGGGGCATAAGATAGGGTTAGGGTTGGTAGAAAGCATGCTTTCAAGTACTATTAAAATATGTCATTTTAAATTGTGGATCAGGAAGAAAAGGAAAAAGAATGGAACGAGTACAACAACAACAACGACAGGAACATGAAAAGTACCAAAAATAGATTCTTCCATTCCTGAGCACCAGCAGATCCTGTTCTTACTTAATTGCTGCGACATGAATCAACCCAAGCTGCAGGTCCTTCTAGACCAGAACTGTGAAAGCATCATCTGAAATCCAATTTACAGCTACAGCTTTGCAGATGTGGTCATAAAAGGGTTTTTTTAAATAGAGAAGAATGTGCGGAGAGGTTTGCTGTGATGCTCAGGGGCAAATTCACACAGCATTTAAAATTTATTTATTTATTTATTTATTAAAACATTTTTATGCCACCCCATTCGCTGAAGCCTCAGGGCGGCTTACAACAATAAGTTAAAAATAATTATAATATTAAATTGAAAAATATAAACATTAAATTAAAAATACAAAAATACCAATATAAAATAAGCTGCCCTGGCCAGATAAAATCCAATAATATTAACAGTTAAAATGCTGCTTAAATAAAAAGGTCTCCGCCTGGCGCCGAAAAACAAATAACGACGGCACCAGGCGGACCTCTCTGGGGAGTGCGTTCCATAACTTAGGCGCCACCGCAGAGAAAGCCCTCCTCCTGGTGCTTACCCTCCTAATTTCTTTCACGGAGGGTTCCCAGAGAAGGGCCTCTCCCGCCGATCTCAGGGGGAGGGAGGGCATATATGGATGTAAGTGCTCCTTCAGGATTGGCTAATGCATTAGGATTGGCTGTAGGGGACCATTCTTCTTGGCTATTACTGGGGGTAGCATACAGTTACCAGACTATGCACCATGCCGTTTTATACCAGTTGCTGGGGAACATGGCCAGGAGGGTGCTGCACTGTTTAGGGGTACCTGCAGGCATCTGCCGTCCACTGTGTGATCAAAATTCCTGCCCAAATGGACCCCTGGTCTGATTCACACATTCTTAGTGGTGTATTTTAACTTGTTTTTTGTTTATAAACCACTCTGCTGAAGGGTGCATGTTCAACCTTTCAAATATTTGCATGCATAAATGATGAAATGGCCAGGACAGCTAATTAGCATCTGCAAGTGTTCTTTTGAGTACAGAGAGATGTCTCGTGTCCCCATCTCCACCCTGATTTGAACACATCTCTTGCCTTGTGTCTTGCCTCTGGGCCTCATCTGCCTGCACCAGAACAACTGCGACCCAGCTCAAAGGGGAAAGCTTTGCCACGCAATTCTGCTGGTTCTCGGAGGACCCTCCCACCTTCACCATCCGTGCCAGCGCCACAAGATGAACTGGCACTAAACTGCATTAGGGTGGCTTACATTCTAAATGGTACGTTGCACTTCATCCATAAATCCATCCATAGATTTTTGGATGGACTGAACCACAGGGTAAGCCAAATGCCACTGCAGTGATTGAATTTAAGGAGATCTTGTATTTCACGGCAAGAAAAAAAATCTGTGAAAATAGATTAGAGCATGCAAGTGTTTTGTTTTCTCCTGCTGGGAGCTTTAACAGAAAGAATCCAAAATTATTTCTGTGAGGGGAAATGGATTCCAACTTGCAGGAGGGGAGCACCTTTAAGAACTATCAGGTTGCCAAAAGAAATGCCTTCATTCACTTTCTTGGTCAACATACCTAAAAAGGGAGCTGAGAGAAAGAAGGCATAGAATAAACTTATATGCTTACTTAGATGTAAATGCCCTTCTGTTCAGCCTACTCCCAGAGAAGTGCGCTTAAGATTTTTTGGGAGGGTTTGCATGACACAACAATGACACAAGTTGAGCAACCTGAGCTGACCACTCAACAGACCATTCCATGGGGTGCACTGGGCGGCTGTGCCAAGCCCCCCACCTTGGTTACCCAGGAATTCCACAGGAGTCCTGGGCTTTTCCTGTCTCCCTGTCTTTGGGAACCATTTTTGTCATGTTGTGGTTTTATTTTGCACCTTGTTACTGAGAATTGATCACCAGTGGTGCCTTGCCAGGGCTGCCTAGGTGACTAAATATATAATGTATATAATACATTTTACATTTACCCACATTAGTTTCCACAAATATGTGCAAAAATTCATGTTAATTTTTTTTTTTGCCTGTCTTGTGCAATGTCAAGTAATCACAATAATACACAAGTACCAATATGGAGAACAGAGTTGGCCATGAGAGGTGGCTGCTTGCATATTTATTGTAGTGCCTTCCTTTGTGTCAACTTCATCCAATGCAAGATGATCGCAAAAAAAGAGATTAGATTTTAAGAGATGAGCTTAGCTACCCGGCTTGTGCTTGTACAATGCAAATTCCAATTCCTCATTTTAGGGCATGACCTAATGCATATTTAGGTGCATAGGAACCCACGTTATACTAAGCCTGACCACTGGTCTTCCTAGCCCAGTATTGTTGAAACTTGAGTGGGTTCCATGCAATTCTTCAGGGATTCAAGCAGGACTGTTTCCTAGCCCTACCTGGAGAAATTGCAGATTGTGCCTGAAAATTCTTGCAGGAAAAGCATGTGTTCTGCTACAAATGACAACCCTTCTTATCTCAAGGAAGCCCCCTTCTCCTGGACAATAAGCCTCTTTGAACTCAATACCACATTTTCCTGAGTATGATGTTGTTAGTTGCAAAGTCACGTCCGACCTATCGTGACCCCATGGACAACATTCTTCCAGGCCTTCCTGACCTCCACCATCCCCTGGAGTCTACTTTAGCTCACACTGACTGCTTCAGTGACTCCATCTAGCCACCTCAATCTCTGCCGTCCCCTTCTCCTTTTGCCATCAATTGTTCCCAGCATTAGGGTCTTGTCCAGTGGGTCCTTCCTTCTCATTAGGTGGCCAAGTATTTGAGTTTCATCTTCAGTATCTGGCCCTCTAAAGAGCTGTCAGGGTTGATCTCCTCTAGGACTGACTGGTTTGATCGCCTTGCGGTCCAAGGGACTCGCAGGAGTCTCTTCCAGCACCACAATTCAAAGGCCTCAGTCCTTCGGTGCCCAGCATTCCTTATGGTCCAGCTTTCACAGCCATACAATTACACTGATAGACAGATATTCTAGGATAAAGAAACCCCCTGCAGTGTAACAAGAGCAGAAGGATTTACAATTTCACTCCTGCACCAAAAACCACAAACATTTAAGACTCATGCCTTGCTTTCCTTGACTTGCAGTGACAATGTTCTATAGTCTCATACCATTGTATGGGCTCATAACATAGCCTCCAATATGCACTGAATAATTTTCAGTTTTAATCAAATCTGTCTTTGGATATTGGGTTTCCTGGGGAATTTTTAAATGTTATTTCCTTGGTTAGCTCTGGCATTTCTGAGAATTTTCAGCTGAAAATCTTGCACCTAGTAAGAAAAGTTTCCTCAAAAGTGGAGAATGTCTGGTGCAGAAGTTCAACAACAGTGATTTGCCTTCTGAGGTAAACCATATTTTGGATAGCATATTTTATGGCAGAGGCTGATCTCGGGGGCCTAAATTTACCCAACAATATAAAAAGGAAGGCCTGTTTCAGTTAAGTAATATAGAACGTTTGACCCTGGCTTTCTGAAGCATCTGGAATCTATCAAATTATTATGTTGGTCTCTGGATATATTTGGTTTTTCTGTTACTGTAAAAATGCTCTCAATACATATATGGGCTTCCTTATCTCAAACCAAAGAGAAAAGCATTTTGAAATGGAAAGAACTTTCTGGAAGAAACTTGTCTTTGTATGTTATGAAGTGTGTGTGTTGGTGGGGGGGGGCAGGGGATGGATTGAAGGAAGCCATCAGCACAGTGTTATTATTTAAGTTTGCCAAGTTCAGGCTCTGAACTCGGGGTTCCTGGGCCTTCAAGGACAGCGTGGAAGAGAGAAACTTCACCAGAGGCAGTTTTACTCATTGCAGGACAGCGGAGGCCAGCGGCAGCATTCTCTGTGCACTCTTTAAGGAACAGGAGACTTCTCAGCATTTGAACCCTCACGGAGATCTTGGAGTAAGATTAAGAACTTGAGCTTTCATGCTCTTGTACAGGATTGCGGGATGGAGTGACGAGGGATGACTTTTAGCCTCTTCCTCATCCTCGGGGCTGAACAGTTTCTGTCCCTCTGCCTAATACATTGAAAAGCTATCTAAGAGACTTGCCATCAGTATATACATTAAGTGAAAAAGGTTTTTTGTTTTGTTTGGTGGATTCCTGAATCTCCCACCAACTTGCTTCATCTGAAGACCCCAAATTCTAGAATTATGAGCAAGAGAAAAATGTCTCCTTGTCCACTTTCTTTCCCAGCATGCATCATTTTATGCAACCTTCATGTCACTTTTTTTCTGAACTAAAAAGCTCCAGATGTCGTACGCTTTCCTCACAAGGAAATATGGCCAACCTTGCCCTTTCCTGCTCTACATCTGAGCTTTCCTTGTCCTTTTTGAGACACGGCAGCCGGATTCCTAATCCAGTCTGAACCCTGTTAGCAGTGTTTTTCCTAGAAAAGGCTGGATTCTGCTTCACATCCTAGGGCCAAAGATTTGCTCCATTTGGGGTCAAGGCAATTTTTTCCAGCTACGTCAGATGGGACAATGCCTAACAGAAGGAGTTTGGTCTTCCTCAGACGGGTTTGCTTGAACCCGAAGGCACTTAAAGGATCATCTTTGACTAGGTTAGACCAAT